CATCTGAGGACTATAAGTCCATGCTTTAAAAGGTCTATGATGCATAATCAACTTAATTAATAACCATTGAGATTTAGCCATATAGATAAAATGCTCAACTGTTTATTTCGAAAATATTTTCAAAATGTTCGCTTTCACTACAAACTGATGTCTTTCAAACATACATGTATAAAATAAATTTATTTATTTAACTCATTTTATTTCATCGAATTCGGATTCTAAAAATGTATTTTAAGTGTGGAAGTCAACCGTAATCAGTAGCTTCGTACGAAACACAGTACCAACTTATGGGGCGTCCATTAATCACGTGAGGTTTCTAGTATTGACAAAAAATTACCAAATACCACGTGGGAGAATTTATTCTTTACCTGATTTTTTAAAAAAAATCAAATTTTACAATTTCTTCCCGTAACTAAAGTACATCTGACGTTTGATGGAGAAAGGAGGGGGGGGGGTAATTTTGAATATCACCACGTATCACCAGAGGGGAAGTCGGATTCCAAATATTCTTAAAAAATCGATCACGTGATCAATGGACGCTCCCTAATAGATTATATGTTAGATGATGATAGTAATGAACCAACTCCAAATAATTCTTTTACAGAACCCATGTCTAGCAGCTTTCTAGATACCAGCATGGAAATTGTGAACTCATTCACTCAAGACATCGAAGAAGACAACATTTCTGAAAATCTGATACTTCAAATTGAAACAGATTCCGAAAACGAACAGTGTTCAACCAGTAGACCTAGAAGGCCATCATCTCTTCTTGGAAATTTTATGACCATGATTAATACAGATTCAGATAGAAGTCTGTCAATAGCAGGAAGTGATTTAGAAGATGGGCCTGTTGGTAAGTTGTTAAAAGCCAGAGAAATAGATAATATTTACACACTATAGGCGGGGCAGGTATAAATACTCGCCAGAGAAAACTATTATGTTTAGCTTTGCATAAAGACAACTTGCCATTTCGTTGAAAATATTTTTTTAAAACATTTAATGAGCAAATTGTACAATAAAGTTTGGTCAAAATAAACGATTCCCTGAAAATAAACTAATTTATTTTAATGTAATTTGTTTCCCAGTCGAACAATAAGAGAATATATTAACTTCCCGAAGGAGTTTATTTTCATCCAGAAATCCGATTCGCAAATTTTTTGTTTTCTCGACGTTTCAAGCCATTCTGAATCGAATGAGACCAAATTTGGAAAAAGTATGTGTGGGTGTATGTGAACATATTTTTTGCCCTAAATCGACGTTTTCTCAAAAACGACTGGACCGATTTTAAAAATTTAAAAGTTACTCGATGTATCTGGATGAGGATTTTGAAAATTCAAAAACCCTTTGAAATATATTGGTTGGATTCGTGCTGATAAGTTTTTGGTAAAGATCGGCAGGCCGTTTCCTTGTAATAAAGTGATAAAAAAAAAATTTGGACGATTTTTATGATTTTTTTCTTTACGGTAGATACCATAGTCTTATAGATTATACTAAAATATTACGGCCCTACGACAAGTAGTTTAATTTTAAAAAATCGTCAGAGTTTGCAAAAATTAGTTTCATTTTTTGGCGTTTGTGAAATTCGAACTTTCATCAACGTCTGAAACGTCCGAACCGTTTTCAAAAATTTAAAAGCCAATCGATGAATTTCGATGTGGCTTATCTTTTCTCAGTTTCGTGCGACGATCGGCTGAGCCGTTTCTTTGCAAATAGCAAAAACGTGGAAAAATTTTCGTCCGCGTGTTAGCTCTCAATTCTGAATCCATTTTAAAAAATCATTTTTTTTTCGAAAGATATTGGTTGGGAATGATACTGATTAATTTTAGGTAAAAATGATACCTGATTAGTTTTTGGCAAAAGCAGGTCCAGCCGTTACGGAGATAAAGAGCAAAGAGTGCAGAAAATAGAAATCGAGTTTTTGAGAGAACGGAGCATCCGATTTGAATGATCTAAAAAGAACATTCAGTTTGAAATGATTGGGAGAAGTGGTGATTAGTTTTTGGCAAAGGCAGGTCCAGCCATTTCAAAGATACAGAACTAAACGTACAAAAAATTGCAGATTTTGAGAGAACTAAGCATCCGATTTGAATGAATTAAAAAACTCCAGTTTATATAATTCTTATAAACATTAGGAAATGTTATTGTATTTATAATAATCTATTTGAAAACATTTAATATTTCTCCAATATTTCGTTATGGCACAGGAAGTTCCAGCAATTTGCCCTAAGGCACATATTCATTTAGATTTTTACTAATGTAAATATATTATAATGCCCGCTATGAAAATTAAATTATTGGAAGAAAATTAAAAATGCTAGAAGTGCTTATATTTTGTTGATCAATTTTAATATAAATCTGCAAGATGAATACAAATATACTTAATTTGTAATTATTACTTAAAAATAAACAAATATAACAAAAAAGTTTAAATCAAGATAGGGTAAGGTTTATATTAGGCTTGCAACGAATAGTATATTCGGCATTTGGAATTTTTGAAACAAAATTCTAAATCATTTTTTTAATAAGTAGAAATATTTTTATGTATTGTTAAATAATTTAGTAAAGTAAACCAAAACGCGACATGCATAAGTTTAAAAAAATAATGTATATGCAATTTTTGACTTATTGCGTTATTTAAATTATATAATTCCCTCTGCCAACATATACTGTTGACTGTAACTTATATTATTTTAATTTCTGGCACATCTCAGCTGCTTTTTGGCAATAATATTATATTCTAATATTATCTAGGCTAATAATTTTAGCTGAATTCAAATTTCAAGTGAATTGACATTTTTAAATGTTCTCAATGTCAAACAATAATTAGTGTTTTTTTTTCATTTTTGACATTTATTTATACAATATTACTATAGTTTTATCGTTCATTAAATCTCAAAAATTTTCTTTGACAAACCCTAAAAAGAATCAAAATCCGAATAACCGTTTAGGGGAAGTATCAAATCATACACCTGTACAGAAGAATTTTATATATAAGATATAAATGTATTTCATATTATTTCTTTCATAAACATTTAATATTCTCTCTTATAAACATAATATTATTTCTTATATATCAGGAAGGCCAATCATAATAAAATAAATAAAAACTGATCAAAAATATTGTTCATATTTTTTGTGATAAAAAGCCCTTAATATCTCTTTATTTAGAAATGTTAAGATTGAATATAATGAATGACTTTATTGAATATAGATACAAAACGTGCGTGTAATGGTTGAATCATTCTTAACATAAACATATAACAATAACGTGTCCTTTGAATATTGAGAAAAGACTCCTTCACGTGTTTGTTTATAATCTCAGAAGTCAAAAAAGATAAAATTTTTATATATACAAAATATAATAACGAATTTCTTTATATCATATTATGTAAACTATAGACTTGCAAATACAGATCCATCGCAAGCTCATTATCGCATAACAGATAAAACACAATATTTTTGCTAAGCGGCGGCAGCTCCTTTGATTTTAACTATTCGGTATTCGGCCGAATATCAAAAAAGGTGCCGAATATGCCGAATACCAAATAGTAACTGAATCTTCGGTACAACTATATGATTCATTATCTTGGAGCCTTAATTTTCACTCTCCTACCAGAAGCAGTCTCAATTTTGTAACAGCCAATTTAGAAATTGAATTACTTTTCATCCCGCATGATGACTAATCAATTGCATATTTCACGTCTTATGCTTGCGCTGCTTGTGTGTGTAGAGACTACTTCTTTTTATAAAAGTCTTATTACATGCTTCACATTTATAGAGTGATTCTCCTGTATGTGACTGCATATGTTGCTTTAAATTACTGGATGTTTGGAATGCTTTATTACATATTCCACAATTAAATGGGCGCTCTCCAGAATGAACGAGCATGTGCGTTTTTAAAGTACCTAATTCTGCAAATGATTTATTGCATATCGAGCACTCAAAAGGGCGTTCTCCAGTATGAGTTTGCGAATGACGTTTTAAACCAGATGATGAAAGAAATGCTTTATTACATTTTTCGCATTTATATGGACCCTCTCCGGAATGAATAAGCATGTGTGATTTCAAACTGCTTAATTGTGTGAATTTTTTATTGCATTTTTGACATTCATAAGGGCGTTCTCCAGTATGTGTTCGCATGTGTGCATTTATAGGACTTGATGTACTGAATGCTTTATTACATATTTCACATTTAAATGGGCGTTTTCCTGTATGAATGCGTGAATGCATTCTGAGATTATTTGATGATATGAAGACCTTATCGCATATTTTACATTTGTATGGACGTTCTCCTGTATGAGTACGCATATGCTGTTCCATATTACTCGATGATACATATACCTTATCGCATAAACCACATCTGTGAAGCCGTTTTCCAGTATGAGCATGCGTTTTATCGGATTCATTGAAGCTTGAGGGTTTTTCTAAAGAATCACACAAGTGCAGATCTAATAAATACTTTGTATTAAATGCTTTATTGCATATTGAGCATTCGAAAGGTTTTTCGTCCTCATCATCTAATTCCTGTTTGATTTCTTCATCAATCGTTACTTCAGAATTCATGAATCTTTCTAAACACGTTTCGTCGGCTTCAGAACTAGATTCAGACTTAACAATACTATCAAATTCATCCTCATTTTCTCGTTTAAGGTCTTCTATAGAAAAATCTAGTGGTTCATTTTTAATTTTAGGATTATTCAAAGAAACACTCACTACACCAAACATGTTTAGTGCTTTTAATTACAAAATATTTATAATCTCTAATAATCTATTGTAACGAATAATCTTAAATAAGATACAAATATTATTATATTGTCTAGGATGATAATGATTTAATTATTTTACATTGATTCTTGGAAATGTTATTTTTCTTTATCATTTTGACATTTGAGTTGACAGTTGAAGCTAAAGCATAGAGTATGTTTTTCGAAAAGACTAGACCAGACGCTTACCATCTATTTAAATTCATAACAAATCTCTATGTAGCCAACTGTCAACACGAAACGCCTTTAACGTGTTTATTATTTACTTATTATTATTAACTTTAACTAATCGATAATGAAAATTTCATATACCTTTACGTTTCAAAGGTTTCTGAATATTTTGGTATACTTTACAAAAAATTGATGTATGTGTGTGTGTGTGCGTGTGTGTGTGCGAATACAAATTTTCGTCGACAATTCCTGAAACACGGATGAACCGACTTGAATAATTTAAAAAGCATTCGATTCGTATTGATAAGGAGACGTGCTGATTAGTTTTTGGCATAGGCAGGTCTAGCCGGTTGCAAAGATATGGAGCAAAAAGGACCAAAAATGGTAATTCAGTTTTTGAGAGAACGAAGCGTCCAATTTTAATAATTCAAAAAGCATTTTATTTGTATCGACTAAAAAAAGAACTTTTTGCACTTTTGCATTCAATACAAAACAGTGAAAAAAATGCCATCTGGCGGTCAAAAATGTTCATTAGACATATGCACTTTAAATTATCATATATTTTATAGAGATTTTAATAATGTGTACACATTTTGTATCAATTTTATGGATTCCATACCAAGATTTTTAATTTTGAAGTTCATTTATATGGTTCACACAAATGTCTTCGACATTTTTGTCAGTATGGAATAGCTGAAAAAACATTCGGTTCGTACTCGATCGCAAGGCGTTTTTGCAAAGGGTCAAAGGTATAGAGCCATTTCGGAGGAATGGAGCGCAAAGGGTGTAAAAATGGTCATGCAGTTTTTGAGAGAACGGATTATCCGATTAGATTAATTTAAAAATCCATTTGCTTGTGTACACTGTGTGCAAAAAATGTTTTTACAAAAAAATTTAACTTTAAAAATTTTCAAAATAAAATTAGAATTTTAAAAAAAAATTGAAGTATCAAAAATTCAAATTTTCGAAATTTTTTCATCATTTTCAAAAAGATTCTAAATTTTGAAAAATTTTAAAAAATAACGAAATTTTGAAAAATTTAAAAAATAACGAAATTTTAAAAAATTTGAGAATATTTTGAGATTTAAAGGAAAATCGAATATTTTCAAAAATTTTCAAATTAGAAAATAAGTTTAAAAAATAATTGTTTTCTTCCAAAAATTCCTAAAAAAAATCGAACTCTTGAAAATATTTTCAAAATTATCAAAAAAGTCAAATAAAAGAATATGAACAAATTTCTTGTAAGCGACGCTCAATTTAATAAGTATTTATAATAAATATTCTATTTGAAATTATTTAAAACAATTGTTGGCTATTTTCTTTCCTCAAATGTTTAATTACCGTACGGGAAGTTCCAGCAATTTGCCTTAAGGCACGATGCCAAACACCACTAGTTTATTCTAGATCGATTATTATTATCTCGAAGGCGAAGTTTATATTTTTGCCAAAAAATCCGAACAATATTACGTAAAAAATTGCGAATTCTATTTCATATATATTACATATCAAAATTTTCCAAAACTGGATATCTAAAAAAATTTTTTTTGATAAATATTTAAAGGATATGGGCGTGTAAATGATGGGTGTGGGCATTTAAATGATTTTGAATGCCATTTTATAGGTATTTTTTAAAAAATTCGCAAGCATAAGGCTCGTCGTTATCGAGCGTCTCGACAAATTCTGTATATATAGAAATATTTATTAAAAACCAAAATTTATTTATATCTTGTATATAAGTATACTCATTTAGTCATAATAAAAAATCCAACGCTCCGAATAAAAACAATAATTATTATTATTGATTATTTTCATTCGCCGTATAAGCTCATGACTAATATATTTCAATGTATGAAAAACTTAAGATAACAATATTTTCCATACATTAAAAGTATATTGTGCCGATTCTGTATGGAAACACGCCCATACCCTTTTTATCATTTTCAAAGATTTTTGCTAGGTTTTTTATGATTAGATTAATTTTAAAATTAAACCAATTTTTGAAAATAATGATTTTTAAATATATTTTGAAACTTTTGAAATGTTTTATCGATTTTTATGGATACCTCAAAAATGTACACAAATATGATTAATTCGATTAATTCATAATGTTTACTAAAAGGTAAAAAATGTACCAAAAAATATTGATTTAAAATAGTATTATACAAAATTATTAATATATTTAATACCAGAAGAAGCCTCTATTTTGTAACAGCCATTTTAGGAATCGAATCAATAACTTCCCGTAGGGTAAGTTATACTATCATAGCAAAAAAATCGAAAATATTTTTTTTCCATATCTCAACGTTTTAAGGTTTTCTGAACATTTTGGCATACCTTAGAAAAAATGGATGTATATGTGTGTGTGTGTGCATGTATGTGTGTGTGCGGTACAAATTTTTGTCGGCGAATATCAGATACACGGGTTAATCAATTTGAATAATTCAAAAAACATGCGATTCGTATCGATAAGGATGTGTGCAGATTAGTTTTTGACAAAAGCAGGTCATGCCGATTCGAAGATACGGGTCAAAAAGTGTAATTGATTTTGTCTTTTGATTTTGTGTCGCCGCAATTTTATGAGAGAACGGAGGGTCCGATTTGTATGATTCAAGAAACATTCTATTTGTATTGAGAAAATGAACAACTGAAGAATTTTGGAAAGGCTGGTCTAACGGTTTCGGAGATCCAACAAAAAAGTGAAAAATATGCTATTTGGTGGCCAAAAATGATCATCAGACATATGCACTTCAAATTCACATTTTTTATAGATATTATAGATATAGATTAGATAGATTAGATAGATTTTATAGATATTATAGATTATATATTTTATAGATATTGATAATAAAAACAAATTTTGTGTACATTTATATGGGTTCCGTACCAAATTCCGCGCGCTTCTATATTTCGTTTCTTTGTAGCTAACGTATCGCGATTGCTCTGAAAAAAAGTTCAAAGATTTCAAAATATTTCAAAGTATTAAAAAAAACTAAAATTTTAAAAAGGTCTATTTTTTTCTAAAATTTCAAAAATCTCAAGAATCTATTTTTTCAGAGTTCCAAAAGAATTGAATATTTTTTAAAAATTGTAATTTTTGGTAAAGGAGGTTACAGCAATTTGCCTTAAGGCACTTTTGCCATGCACCCATAGACCTTGTACTACATGAACTGCTACTCGAGCGCAAAATAAGTGCACAAACATAGAAGGGACTATGACGTCACTTGCTGAGCGAACGTTGCCGACAATCGAGGACTTCCCCGATTGACCCGTTTCAATGTGACCCGTTATTTCATACTTTAATGAAATAATTAAACCACGCTTCGTAGGCCATAATAATTGGAAATGTTTGTTAAGGCCATAAACTTCATCATAATACGAAAGTTTAATAGTTACGAAGAAATGACCTGCTTGATGTTTAGCAAAAATTTATCAGCCGATCCCCATCTGATATCTTTCAAACGGCTTTAAAATTTTCAAAATCGGTCAAGGATGTTTGGCGAAACCGTGGAGGAAAACTTTTGAACTTATGGGGCGTTCATTAATCACGTGATCCATTTTTTTTAGATATTCTTGGACCCTCACTCTCCCTTGGTGATACATCGTGATATTTAAAATTACTTTCCTGCCCTCACCAAATATCACGTATGCATCACATGTATTTTTAGCTACGTAAAATTTTTCGAATTTACGAAAAAATCGTAAAATTTGATTTTTTTTTTGAAAATTCAGGTGAAAAATAAATACACATGTTATCTTACAAGACCCCTCCCTCCCCCCACGTGATTTTTTGTTGAAACCCCTCTTTCCCTAAAAGCCTCACGTGATTAATGGACGCCCACTTATTTGCGATAGTCTCGCAAAACTAATCAAAGTGAATACTTATTGAATGACTCAAACCATTTTGGGAAAACTTCCACGAAAATAAACACTCTCATTTTTTCTAATTTCGGAGTCAAACGATTTAGAATGACTTAAAATTTTAAGATTAGAATTAAAAGATTTAAAATTATAAAGTCGGATTTTCTGATGCAAACTAGAACTTCCCTTTTGTGAAGTTAAAAATAAAAATTCACAGTAATTTTCTGTTTCAGGAAGTTGTTCGATGAATTTAAATAGCTGCCCTTTGGATATGAGACCAGCAAAAGAATCGGATTCTCACAATCATCTGGAAACTATAAATCTAAATGACAATGTTCAAGTTGATTTTTGTGCCGATTCATTAATTGAGGAGGCGCAAATAAATTTGGTCAATAATGAAATGTTTAATATTGATCCTAAATATGCATCGATGATCAAACCTTGTTCGGTTGTATTGGAAGATTGTTTGGAACCTGTACACATCGAACCTGAGATTGATATAAATATAGAAACCACAGTACATGCATGTATTCCCTGTAATGAAACTTATACGACCTTAAAAGATTTAAGAAAACATGTATATACAACGCACATAAGTGACACAACCAATAAATGTTTCATTTGTGACGTCGAAATTACCAACAAGAACAAAATGACCACTCACATATTGACTCACATGCTTACGGTTATTTATATTTGTGAAATTTGTAACGCAGTGACAGAAACTCAGGAAAGTTACGATGAACACATGCTTACCCAACACAACAGCTTTGTGTGTGATGTATGTGGTAAACCTTGTTCATCCAAAAATACTTTGACCAAACACAAAATAGTACATCAGCCAGATAGATACAAATGCAAGGTATGCAGCAAAATATTTGGTAGCGCCCGTAAACTCAGGCGACACATGCTGATTCATGGGGAAAGGAAATTTTTCTGTGAAATTTGTGACGCTACATTTTGTAGAAGAGAAGTTTTAAATGATCACGTGAAGATGCACAGCACAGAACGTGCCTACAAATGTGACTTTTGTTCTAAGACTTTTACCACAAAAAGTAGCCTGTATGCACACATAAGAATCCATGATAAAACAAAACAAAAGAAGTGTGAATACTGTTCGAAAACATTCACTACAAGACAAGCTCTCCTAAGGCATTTGTACAAGCATGAAAATGTCCAACTTCATCAATGTAATGTGTGTAAGAATGTTTATGAAACTTTAAGTGAATTAAAAGCTCACGAGCAGAAGCACAACGGAGATTTGGAAACATTCCAGTGTCGAATATGTGGAGAAGTTTTTACATCGAAGGTGAAATTGAGTCATCATAGGGAAGGTTGCAGGGATAAAAATGATTCTAACGAGGAAGTGGGAAGTCACTGGTTGATGTAACATTAATTTTTAGACACTCATTGTTATAACGAATTGTTAATGATAATTTTTACTGTGCGTCGTTAATTTTGGGCTCACGTATCTTTCCTATTTTTTTGTAAAGAAATTGCTAAACTTACGCAACTAAGAATTTTCTTTTAAACAACTACAATTGCTATTTGCTAATGAGGGACAGAAATTAGCTGGGAAATAAATATCTAAACATTCTAATATCAAAATGAGTATTAAAATATATCAGGTAGTGTTTACGAGAAAATACTAAATACTAAATAAAAAAAAAGTTATGCAGCAAATATTAGACCAAATTGTTGCAGGAAGAGCTGACATGCGGCAACATTTACCATGAATTTGTTTAATTTATTACTTATAGTTTATATATAGCAATAATTTGTTTTGCTTAACTTTAAGGGGGTTGTTCTTTTTTTCTTTAAAAAAAATGCAAGGTATTTGTTTTTGTTTTCCTCGAAATGTATTTATCATAGAGACATGCGGTTTTTCTTAAACAAAAATTACAAAATCATAGAGTATTACGAAATTTTCTTTTTCTTTTTTTTCGCTGTCATTTTTTAACCAGGAGGCGACAAAGTCGGTCTTGCAAAATCGATCTCTTTTGCGGTGCCACAGATAAATCCATTGCGCATCGCCTGAAACAAAAAAAAAAGAAACTACGTTGAAGAAGAAGTTTGAATCCAGTCCCCCTACCAAAATGAAAGAAAAAAAGCAGGAAGGAAAAAATGGCAAAAAGTGTTGAAAAAGGCCTTTTTTGGGGAGCGAGAAGCTTCACAAAATTTTTTTGCGTAATGTTATCAAGTTGTTTGAGGTAGGGGGACTAGGTATTGCAGTGATGAACAAATTAAAAAAAATGCAAGTCGATCCGATTTGTAGTTTTTTTTTTAATTTGTGGCACCGCATTGAAAAAAGTCAATTTGAGAAAACGTATTTAAAGTTTCTAATATAATGTACTAAATACACTATGGTGTTCAAAGATGCTGACACATTAAAAAGGTCATGTGCATGAGGTATTATAATGAAAAAGAGAGCAGCTGGCATACAATAGCTCCGGAGCGATGAAAAAAACGGTTTCAGAGGATCATACATATAGAGATATATATCTATAACTTCGTCAAAAAATAGATATTGAGATGATTTTTTTTTAAAATAATTCCAATGTTTTTAGCTTTCATAATATCAAAAAATCTCAAAAACGAAAAAAAACAAGTAAAAACCGAACAACCCCCTTAATACGGGGTTTCTATGAAAATAATTAAATTTTAAATGTTTACTTTGCAGAACATTAGTAACCCTGGAACCCAGTCTTCGATTTTCACATATTTTTTTCTGAAACACTCGTTGCCTATGCATATGCCTCGTTTTAATTTGCACGTATTACTTTCTTTTAAAGTAAATAAAGAATTACTTCTAGTCCTCTTAAGTCAAAAATGATATAAATATAGAAAACATATTGGAAGGTGTTACAGGATTATACAATTTTGACAACCAAGTGTGGGAAATATTTATGTGACAAAAGTGTGATACATTTGCAAAATTAAATTAGCGGCGGTAGTAGTGATAAAAAATCGGAACAGTCATGAAAATATTACATTATAGTTAGTATAATCGCTGAAGTATATATATATTTGTTAATATTGTATTTTAAAAAAAAAAATCTTTTTTTTTATCAAAAGACATGTATTTAGTATTTCATTTACATTTCAGGGATATTTACATAACAAATTTTTACACTTATATGCTTTATAATCAGTTAATATTTGAAGTAGATCAATTTTAGTGTTGATAATAGAATTGTTTTATAATAATCACTCAAAATAAAATATACATTAACTATATAATATGTAAATTCTGTACATTGTAAATGAAATTATTTAATAAAATTACTAAATATCCAAAATAGATTCTATATTTGCAGGAAATTTTAATTCAATTATTATGTAACATAAAAAACACCTACACGCTTTTTTATTCAACCTAGTTACGTAGCTCAAATAGCCGTGCCGTATTAGTGTGCAACGTAACAGCCGTTACGTTCCTGCCCGCGAAATAGATACTTCTGAGTCTCCCAGGTTACGTACCTGCTACGTGCGGACGTGGGGGCGCCACATAATATTCATGGGTTTATTACGTTTTGTGGTTTACTGGGTATATATGTGTTAATACTTATAGTTCATAAATGTGTTTGATTGCCCCTTTTTTGAAAGATTAAAAAATCTTAAAGGTAATTGTTTTCTTTCAGTATCACTTTTTATAATTTTCAAAATGTTTTCAATAAATTTAATATCTGCAGGTTATAATGCCTTTAAGTACTAAATGCAATTAAGCTTTAAATTTGGTGTTTCAAGTGCTTTTAATAAAATTTATTAACTTCGGGTAGGGTAAGTTATAAAAATTGTAAACAATTTAAAATGATTATTTATATGTTTCAAAGCCTTCTGCACATTTTGGCATTCCTTGGATGTATGTATGTGCAAATACGAATCAACCGATTTCATTAATTTAAAACACATTCGATTCCTATTGATAAGGCGACGTGCTGATTAATATTAGGCAGGTCTAGCCGTTAAGTTTTTGAGATAACAGACCATCGGATTTGAATTATTAAAAAACATTCAATTCGTAATGACGGGGAGAATAGTGTTGATTAGGTTTTAGCAAAGGCAGGTTCAGCCGTTTTGGAGATAAGGAGCTTAATGTGAAGACAATAGTAGATTTTAAGAGAACGAAACATGCAAAAATAATTTGGATTTTAATTTTAACTCTAGCTAAAATTCTGAAGCTCACTTGATATAAATAAAAGATTAAATTTTAGCGCTTTGGAGTGAAAAAAACAAGTGCATGTCAGATTGAATTTTACGGTTTATTAAAATTGCATGAAAAGCTTACAAAAGTGTACAGATAATTAAATAATTGCTTACAAAAAACCATACATAATCGAGACTCTAATGTGCGTTTGTGGAATCAAAAAAATGTCTTACATTTCAATCAAGATATAGAAGCGAATATGGAATCGGACAGTAAACCATCAGAAATCCCAAAACTATGTAAGACCGTTATTGGATCCAGCAAATACAGCAAGATACCTCGCGAAGAAGGTCGGACCAATATGTTTACATCGGAAAAGGTCTCGCTGCGTTCAACTTCATCAGTTTCTGACTCAAGACAGGAAGTTATATCATCTAGTAATAGTGCATCTACAAGCCTCACTCAACCACATTCTGATGTCAAGAAACCTCCTAATTCATGGCAAGTAGTCAATTTCAAAAAAAGAAAAACTTCATTTGAACCATTAGGAATAGATTTAAAATTCTATGTAATTCTGTCGACCATTTTCGAACTTTATCCAGACATCTAAAAGAAACTAATGCCGTATATCATACATATCAATTAAAAGAAGAGAAGGCTTATAGGGTTGTTCTTAGAAATGTACACTTTTCAACAAGCACAGATGCAATTAAATTAGAACTATTAAAACAGGGTCATGTCGTACGTAATATCCTAAATATTAGACATAGAATAACAAAAGAACCTCTTAATATGTTTTTTGTTGATCTGGAACCAAATAGAAATAACAAAAATTTATAACATTTATAAATTATTCAACTGCATAATACGCGTCGAACCACCGAGAAAGTCCAACAACATTATACAATGCACTCGCTGTCAACTCTTTAATCACACCAAAAAAAACTGCAATAGACCATTTGCTTGCCTAAAATGCGGTGACAATCATAATACTATAGCTTGTACCAAAGATCCGAATGCTCCGGCATGTTGTTATTTTTGCGACGGTGCTCATCCAGCTAATTATCGCGGTTGCTCATACTTCCAAAAAATTAAAGAACGAAGAAACAAAACTCCAGTAAATCAATCAGTCATAAATCCAAATCCAAATAACCAAAATTTTAAAAATTCTAATAATTCTAATTCTAATAATAAAATAAACAACATTTCTCCGGCCTTAAATCCAACAATTCAAAATTCATCCTATGCAGACATTGCAAAAAACAATTACTCTGCTTCTAATCATTCACCTTCAAATCCTGATTCTGATTCTCTAGCAACACTTATTTTAGAATTTAAAAATATTTTCAATCAGCTTTTGCAACAGAACACCATAATAATAAATATGTTATCCACGTTAGTCAACAACAAAAGCAATGGCAAAAATAATTAAAATTGCTGAATGGAATGCTAACGGTTTAATACCTCACAAAAATGAAGTAGAATGTTTTTTAAAGTTAAACTTAATAGATATCTTATTAATCTCAGAAACTCACTTCACTGAAAAAAACTACTTCAAAATTTATAACTACACTACTTATAATTCAAATCACCCAAGTGGCAGGGCTCGCGGCGGTTCGGCTATATTAATCAAAAATAATATAAAGCATTTCGTTCTACCAAATATTTCTGATGATTTTCTACAAGCAACTCAAATTTCTGTTGAAACAAATTTATATAATTTTTGTGTTTCTGCTGTTTATTGTCCACCAAGATTCAAAATTTCTTGTGCTCAGTTTTCTTCATTTTTCTCTCAATTAGGTAATAAATTTATCATTGGTGGTGACTTTAATTGTAAACATATTGCCTGGGGTTCAAGACTGACTACAGCCAAAGGAAAGATTCTTCATGCAGCCATAGGGCAAAATAACCTCTCCTTTATTTCAACTTGCAGTCCAACTTATTGGCCTTCTGACCCTACTAAAGTTCCAGACCTTTTAGATTTTTTTATTGTGAAAGGTATTGATCTTTCAAATCTCAATATTGAATCTAGTTACAATCTCTCTTCAGATCATTCTCCAATACTTGTGACGTTTAGCACATTTCCTACTCCAGTTATCAACAATCATATTCTACACAACAATCTTTCTAACTGGATTCAATTCAAATCCATACTTGATTCAAAATTATTTCCAAAACCTAGGCCTACAAGCGTTATTGATATAGAAAATAATATAGATTATTTTTCTGAGATTGTACGTGAAACAACCAAGCAGATCACCCCGAACATTAATCCAAGAAATGATAATCTAATAATTCCGCAAGAGATTAAGAAGCTAATTGCACAGAAACGAAGAGCAAGACGAACCTGGCAACATTCTCATCTACCAACGGATAAGACATCGCTTAATCATCTCAATAACACGCTGAGGAAAAAAATGAAAGAATGGAAGAATTGTACATTCAGGTCGTATATATTGCAGTTAAATAGGTACGATAATTCCATATGGAAACCAATCAGAAACAAAAGTAAACCCCTACAACAAAACCCTCCTCTGAAAATAACCAACCAAAACGGATTCATTTGGGCAAAAAGCAACGAAGAAAAAGCGGAGGCATTTGCTGATCATCTAAGTAGCATTTTTAGCGCTCGAAATATTTCCCAGAATAATTTAATTAACAATTTCGTAAATCAACCCATACATTCTACACCGTTAGGACATTTTTCACCAAATGATGTCTTATGTGAAATAAAAAGGATAAAAAATAGATCTTCGCCAGGTATGGATAAAATTACTCCAAAGATGTTAAAAGAATTGCCTACAAAAGGTATCTTATATATAACAATTATTTTCAACGCCATACTTCAATACAATTATTGGCCCTCAGCGTGGAAGACTGCAGAAATTATTATGATCGCTAAACCAAACAAAAACCATCACACTGCTAGTTCATACCGTCCTATCAGTCTTTTATCGATATTATCGAAAATTTTAGAGAGACTTTTGTTGCAGAAGATCATCCGAATGATAGTTGGATTCCTCACCATCAGTTTGGCTTCAGAAAAAATCACTCTACAATTCAACAATGCAACAGAACGGTGTCTCGTATTCTTGAAGCCATGAATAGAAAGGAACACAGCGTAGCCGTATTCTTAGATGTTAGTCAGGCTTTTGATAAGGTTTGGCACTCAGGACTCCTATATAAAATCAAAACAACTTTTCCAAACTACTTCAATATCTTAAGCTCATATTTGCTTAATAGAAAATTTAGAATCAAAATTAAAGATGTGACTTCGAGCATCAGAAATATAGAATGCGGGGTACCACAGGGCAGTGTGCTAAGCCCTGTACTTTATCTTCTTTTCACAAACGATATGCCCACAGATGATCTTCTAACCATATACACTTACGCCGATGACATAGCAATTATTTCATGCAATTCCGATATTAGAACAGCAACTTGTCAGTTACAAAATTATTTATCTAGTCTCTAAAAATGGTTTTTAGATTGGAATATCAAAATCAATATCGAAAAATCTCAGCACATAATTGTTTCTCTAAAACATCACAACAGTCCACCTATCATCATGAACAATTCAATAATTCCACTATGCAATTCTGTTAAATATTTAGGCATGCACATTGATTCGAAATTGACATGGAGAACGCACATTGAATATAAAAAGAAACAAATCCAACTGAAAATAAAAGATTTTTACTGGCTTTTTGGGAGGAAATCTGAAATCTCTCTCGATAACAAGGTACTTTTGTATAAAACTATCATAGTGCCCATTTGGACTTATGGAATCGAACTATGGGGTTGCTCTTGCAAATCTAACATAAACATCATTCAAAGGTGCCAGAATAAAATTCTGCGTATCCTTACTAATGCGCCTTGGTATATTTCGAATTTTTGCCTACATAAGGATTTGAAAATCTCAACAGTCAACGAAATGATCAAGATTAGAAGTTCATCTTTTAACAACAAATTAATCCAGCATACAAATCCTACAGTTCAAGCGATTCAGAGACCGATAAGAAGATTGAGCAAGAAATGGCCTTCCGATCTACCAAACACCTAGCCCAATGTCTGCACGCGTCCTGACGTAGTACGCGGCATACATCATCACGTCATCGTTCATTTATGTTATTATTTTTGTATTACTGTTTTAATTTAATTTTTATTTCAACTTTTTTCATTTTATATTCAATGTATTGCATTTTTTGTTTTTTTGTATTTTTTTTTTTTGCTCATATCAATTTTGTAAATAAGACATTAAAGATTAACAAAAATAAATTGTAACAAAAAAAAAAAAAAGCGCTTTGGAGTATTAATAATTTAATCCAAGTTTTCCCACGGAGTTAATAAGCGTTTATCAGATTTGCGCGATGACCAGCCGAATAGTTTTTTTTTTTATAATTAGCGGAAAAGTATTAAAAAAATTCTCCATGTTTTAGCCGTTTTTTCGTAATTATAGTAAAAAAATATTTACGATTAATATACGATTTTAATTAAACTTTGTATGAAAATAATTTTCGTAGTATAAAATAACACTAAAATATTATAGGCTTACGATAGGTGGTTGAATTATAAAAATTGATCAAGGTTTGTAATTGCGTTGCGCGCTTCAGCGGATCTAATCAGAATCTATGTGAGCATATGCAAAAAGGTGCATTCACACATATTCGCCTTCGTTTGTGTTCGTGTTCGTTCTTCTTTGTATATTCTTGTTCATCATGTTCGTTCGTGTTCGTTCGTTAGGTGTGGACGCATCTTAATGCGTTCTTGCGTTCTGTCTTTTGTAGGTAACTGATTACTTTTGATGCCCCAATAAAATACCTACATTTTTAGAACACGAAATAAATGAAATAAATCGATCATGTATATGTATCATTGCTTTCTCACATAAATATAAAAACCGTAAAGCATATCACCCAAACTTCACTTCTAGGGCCAGGCTGAAAAGACAATTTTCGAAAAAAAGGTTTTCGGCAAATCACTGGCAATGGTCAGAGGGGTCAGATGTTTGTATTTTTTTGCCAATTTTAACAATCTGATTACAATACAATTTATAAGTTGAAAGTTATGGTATTGAAAATCAAAATCAAGAAGAAAGAAAAATAGAACAAAAGAAATTAAAGAAAAGAAATAGAATAAATAATAATTAAAATAATAGTATTAATAATGAAAACAATATAATCAATAACAAATAATAATTAAAAGTAACTTGTTTGAAAATTTTCCTGTGCAAAACAGAGAAAATTATCTTGTGGACGGTAGATTACTGGGCCATTTTCTTTTCAGGCGTTTTAATTTTTTGGCTTTTACTTGTATTAACAAGTCTAACGGTTTCGGAGATCTAGTAAAAAAGTAAAAAAAAATGACATCTTGCGGTCAAAAATGATCATTAGACATATGCACATCAAATTATCAGATATTTTATACAGATTTTAACAATAAGTATAAATTTTGTTTATATTTCTATGAGTTCCGTACCATTGTTTAACCGTTAGACGGCGGCGCTTCGATATTTTGTCTCTATGCAGTTAAAGCAGTACGATTGCTTTGAAGAGAAGTTCAGAATTTCCAAAATATTTCAAAATAAATTTTTCTTCAAAAAGTTTTTTTTTTTAAAAAGTGAATTTCTGTCAAAAATTTATAGTTTGTCAAAAATCTATTTTTTCAGAGTAATTTTTTTTCAAAAACGTTAATCTTTTTAAAAAAAATAATTTTTGGTACGGGAAGTCCAGCAATTTGCCTTAAGGCACGATGCCATGCCACTAGTTCTATTTTGTTATTAGAAGTTTCTTTCTATATATGTAAAAACAACTTTCACATACTTGCGATTTGGGATAAACAATTAGAAACTTAAAAATAATGCTCACTGCAAAATTGCTATTTGAATCTGGCGCCACATTCGCCACACTGGTAACACTTTTTCGCCTTTCAAAAATATTTTCCTCCCCTGAAACGAATTTTGTTTTGACTGTCAACTGAACGAGAAGCGCAAAAGGCGCTAATTTTATAAACATGATTATATGTTAGTTTTAATGGTTTTAATCATTTTAAATGAAGTGTAATAACTAATAATTTGCTAAAAATATGTCGCTCAAATCGAAGGAAGCAGGTAAATTCTTGCACAATAATTTTATTAATCTATGTTATGTATAATCCGAATTTACTTGATTTTAGGAATTCCAAGTGAAAATTACAAATTAATTAAAAAATATTCCAATATACTTTCAAATAGAAATTTAAACTTGAGTCCTCCAAAGATTAGAACTCGCAGAAAAGTCTATAGGAGAAATATATTGGATCCTGATATTTCGAAAGAAAATGAGATCAATACCACAGAAACAAATGTGCAATCGGTAGCTACAGTTAACAATTTGGAGTTAAATTTATCACCTACCAAAACTCAATCTTCATCTAAACCTGAAGGTTTCAATTCTAATACTGGAATTTTAACCCATAGAGATACAAATATAATAGAAGCATTTTCTGGGGACTTAAAAGTTAAAGAAAGTGCGGCTAAGATTCTAACTCGCAGATGTAGTGCAAGAAATAAAAATGCTTCTACTAAAAATGAATCAAACGAAGTTACCAGCCAAGGTGCCAAAAAGGTAGGAAAATCTAATGATAAATTGTGTGTAGATTCTAATGGAAATGAATTACCTAAACTTACCGAAGCTTTATTTGAACCTGACTTAATTGAAAATAAAAATATATCACTGAAGGTTAAACAAAACGCAATTTCCAGTAAGAATTCCAACCCCATATGTGTTATCAAACTTGATAAAAATGAGATTTTGTCTGCACTTAACAATTTGAGTAAAACCACAAATAAAAATGAACATAGTCCAACTTTCAATGTTGGGATTGTAGAATGTAGTAAACAAGTTACTAGTAAAAGTTCAAAGAATTCCAAAGCATCTAATAATGATAATTTAACTAAATATAAGTCTCCAACTGTAATGTCGACTGAAGAAACAAATATTGTACCTGAAACTAAAACTAGTCAAGCGGTCAATAAACTTGAAGCAGCAACTAAGAATGCATCAGAGGGTAATATAAATTTCAATCGGATAAGTCAAACATGCAACAGAAACATTCATCTAAATATCGATTCTGATAAAGTGGAATGTGATATCAAAGGGATTAGAAGAGATGGATTGAATATAAATAATAATATAGTAAAAAAATTAGATGTACACAAGCCTGAAAAGAAACCTGCGAAAAACAGACAACTTATAAAGTCTAAGCCAAACTCTATGAAGCCTGAACGGAAGAGTTTTTTATCAAGCACTAAATCAAACTTATCTCTCTCTATTACTAAACGATATAAACTTAAGAAGCTATCCGTAGTATTAGACAGAACCATGGTAGATACTGCGATGAATAACCCACATAAAATCATCAAAAGCAAAAATAACTCGAGCATAAAACTAACAACAATTAGTAATACCGATGATCTGCATGCAAATCTTGGGAACTATGTTGATTCTACAGACTCAAGACCTGCAATAGTCGATGAAGTAAATATAAACAGTCTGGTCGAAGTGAACATGACACGAATTAAGTGCAACGAAACATCAACTAAAGGTAATAAATCAACTCTTAACTAGCTTTAAGTGGCATTTTGCCCTAAGGCAAGTTGTATGCACTTCATGATATGTATACAATCAACGTGAACAATAAGAATTGAGATTCCACTAAAATGTTCTTTTTTTATTAACTTCCCATAGGGTAAGTTATAGTAACCGAAAACAATCGAAAATGCAAATATTTATATATTTTTACGTTTCAAAGGTTTCTGAACATTTTGGCATACCTTAGAAAAAATGGATGTATTTGTGTGTGTGCGTGCGGATACAAATTTTCGTCGACGATTTCGGGTACACCGATCAACCGATTTAAATAATTCAATAAACATTTTACTGATTACATTTTTGGGAAGGCAGGTCTAGCGCTTTTGATGATCTATTAAAAAAAAGTAAAATAAATGCCATTTGGCGGTCAAAAATAATCATTACTCATATGCACATCAAATTGTCAGATATTTTATAGAGACTTTCTCAATGTGTATCAAATTTGTTTGCATTTCTATGAATTTCGTAACATTGCTTGTCCGCTAGACAGCGACGCGGCGCTTACGCGTTTCGATATTTTGTATCTATGCATTTAAAGCAGTGCGATTGCTTTGAACAAAAGTTCAAAATTTCCAAAATATTTCAAATTAAAAAGAAAAAAATAATCCAGAAGTTTTTTTCACAAAAACTTTTTTTCATAAATTTAAAATTTCTCAAAAATCTAATTTTTTCAAAGTTTAAAAAAAAATTTAATCTTTTTTAAAAAAAATAATTTTTGGTACGGAAAGTTCCAGCAATTTGCCTTAATGCATTATGCCATACACAAATTTTTGTAAACGGTTCAGCCGGTTTTTGAGAAAAAAATAGATTTATAATGACATCATAAAAACATAAAAAACAAATCAAATTTTCTAGCAAACTTCTTAAGAAAGTAAAATATGAAGATTTACACAAATATTCTGTTTTTGTAGGTGGATCTGTGAGTCCAACAAAAGAACCAAATGCTCAAAATCCAATGAAAAATGTGAGTCCTAATCACAATGATCAAATTCAAATGGAGGAACAAATAAATTTGGTTAGTAATAAAATATTTAATATCGATCCCAAATATGCAACGATGATCAAACCATGTTCGGTTGTATTGGAAGATTGTGTGGAACCTGTGCACATCGAGCCTGAGATTAATATAAATATAGAAACCACAGTACATGCATGTATTCCCTGTAGTGAAACTTATACGACCTTAAAAGATTTAAGAAAACATGTGCATACAACGCATGTAAGTGACACAACCAATAAATGTTTCAATTGTGACGTCGAAATTACCAACAAGAACAAAATGACCACTCACATATTGACTCACATGCTTACGGTTATTTATATTTGTGAAATTTGTAACGCAGTGACAGAAACTCAGGAAAGTTACGATGAACACATGCTTACCCAACACAACAGCTTTGTGTGTGATGTATGTGGTAAACCTTGTTCATCCAAAAATACTTTGACCAAACACAAAATAGTACATCAGCCAGATAGATACAAATGCAAAGTATGCAGCAAAATATTTGGTAACGCCCGTAAACTCTGGCGACACATGCTGATTCATGGGGAAAAGAAATTTTTCTGTGAAATTTGTGACGCTACATTTTGTAGAAGAGAAGTTTTAAATGATCACTTGAAGATGCACAGCACAGAACGTGCCTACAAATGTGACTTTTGTTCTAAGACTTTTACCACAAAAAGTACTCAGTATGCACATATAAGAATCCATGATGAAACAAAACAAAAGAAGTGTGAATACTGTTCGAAAACATTCACTACAAGACAAGCTCTCTTAAGGCATTTGTACAAGCATGAAAATGTCCAACTTCATCAATGTAATGTGTGTAAGAATGTTTATGAAACTTTAAGTGAAATGAAAGCTCACGAGCAGAAGCACAATGGAGATTTGGATACATTCCAGTGTCGAATATGTGGAAAAGTTTTTATATCGAAGGTGAAATTAAGTCATCATAGAGAAGGTTGCAGGGATAAAAATTATTCTAGCGGGGAAGTGGGAAGTCACTGGTTGATTTAAGATTGATATTAAGATACATTTGGTTTTATTCATTATTATAAGAGAATTGCTAAAAATAATTTTTACTGTGAGTCGTTAGTTTTGGGCTCACGTCTTTCATATATTTTTCTTTTTTTAAATTGTTAACCTTATGCAATTAAGAATTTTCTATTGAACAATCACGATTGCTATTTGCTAATGATGGACAGAAGTTAACTGGCAAATAAATATTTAAATATTCTAGTATCAAGAAAGATATTAAAATGTACCAGGGGGGTGTTTACAAGAAAATTTATGCTATATCAAGAGAAAACTATTCAGCAAACATTAGATCGAATTGTTGTAAGAAGAGCTGACATGCGACAACATTCACCTTGAATTCATACAGTCATTAATTTTAATTTTGTTTTTCATAAATTAATTATAGTCTATATATAATATTAATTTAATTTGCTCAAGTTGAATACGGGTTTTCTGTGTACATAATAAAATTTTAAATGTTTACTTTGTTCAATTTTTAGATTTTAAAAATTTTACATGGTCTTTTTGCATCCCTGGAACCCAATCTTCGATTTTAACATATATTTTTTTCTGGAACACTATGCATCCTTTTAATTTTCACCTATTTTTTTTTTTTTTTTAATGTAAATTAAGAAATACTTCTAGTCATCTTAAGTCAAAAATGATATAAATATAGAAAACATGTTAGGGAAAATATGGGAAATATTTATGTGATAAAAGTGTGATACATTTACAAAAGAAAGTCAGTAGTGATAGTGCTGATAAAAAATCGTAAAAGTCTTGAAAATATATTATTATAGTTATTAATTGTATAATCGCTAAATATATATTAGCTGTTGTATTTAATATTTCATTTATACTTATTATATGTATGCTTCGTAATTAATTATTATTTGAAGAAAATCACTTTTAGAGTTGAAATTAAAATTGTTTTGAAATAATGTTATAATAAATTTATTGAAAACATTTTAAAAATTATAAAAAAGAATACTAATAGAAAACATCCCTCAAGAATTTTTAGTCCTTCATAAGGAGGCAATCAAACACTTTAAGTACTGAATGCAATATAGTTTTAATTTTGGGTGTTTCAGGCGTTTTTGATTAAAAATATTTTTTATATTTTTAACTTCCCGTAGGAGTTATTCAACTTTACTATAACTTTATAAAAGTTTAACTTTATTAAGTTAAACTGAAAATGAAAACTTGCATAAATTTTTACGTTTCAAAGCTTCTTACATACTTTAGGGTGTATATGAGTATATTCTTCTTTTATCTATCAGTATGTGTACGTTTTTGTTTGTTTTTTTTTGAGTATGTGTATGTGCGTGTGCTTGTGTGTATGTGTGCGCGCAGTTATAGTAATCGCAAAAAATCGAAAATGAAATGTTTATACCTTTGCGTTTCAAAAGGTTTTGAACATTTTGGCAAACCTTAGAAAAAATTGATGTATGCGTGTGTGTGTGTGTGTGGATACAAATTTTCGACGACGATTTCGATAACACAATTACTTCTAGTCCTAGGACGAGCTTTTAAGAGTTCTTAAGTCAAAGAAGATATAAATATAGAAAACATGCACGTCTCCTTATCAATACGAATGGATTTTTTTTTGAATTATTGAAATCGGTTGATCGGTGTACCCGAAATCGTCGACGAAAATTTGTTTTTCGACACACACACACACATACATCCATTTTTTCTAAGGTATGCCAAAATGTTCAAAAACTTTTGAAACGTAAAGGTATATACAAATTTTCATTTTCGATTTTTTGCGATTACTCTATAACTTATCCTACGGGAAGTTAAAAAAATAATTGTTTTCATCGAATTTAAGGGTTTATTAGGAAATGATATAAAGATAAACGAAAACTAAACTAACTGTAGTGTATGGCATCGTGGCTTTAAGGCAAATTGCTGGAACTTTCCGTACCGTAACGAAATGTTCGAGGAATATTAAATGCTTTCAAATAGATTGTATAAATGCACTGTAACATTGTCGAATATTTATAAGAATTATATAAACTGAATTACAAAGTTAAAATTATTTATTTAAAGTATATAAGTGAGCTTTAGACTTCAGCCAGAATTAAAATCAAAATCTAAATTATTTTCTGATATATTTTGAGATTTTTTTTCCAAAAGCAATTGTTTTGTTAGCACTAGCAAAAAGTTTTTTGAATCATTCAAATCGGATGCTTAGTTCTCTCAAAAACTGCAACATTTATCTCTGTATCTTCGAATTCCTGGACCTGCATCTTCCAAAAAACTAATCACCATTTTTTTAATAATTACAAATTGAATGTTTTTTTTGGATCATTCAAATCATATATACTCCGTTCTCTCATAATCTCGATTTCTATTTTCTGTACTCATTGCTTCATACCGTAACAGCTGGACCTGCCTTTGCCATAGACTAATCAGCACATGTGCTTATCAATAGAAATCTAATGTTTTTTGAAACATTCAAATTGGTTGATCCGCACGGCCAAAAACGTACACAAAAAATTGCGAAGACACAAAACACACACGCCACCATTTTTCTTTTTTCAGAATGTTCAGATACCACTGAAACGTGAAGATATACAAAAATTTTCATTTTCGATTTTCGACCCATTACTATATAACTTGCCCAAGGAGAAGTTAAAAATCGTAAAATTCAAGCAACTTGCCTTAATGCCAAATGCAACTTAAAATTGGTATACGAATTCTATTTTGTTATTGGAAATTTCTTTCTATACATGTAAAAACAACTTATATTTACTTGCAATAAGCAATTAGAAAGTTAAAAATAAAGCTCACTGGAAAAAATGCTATTTGAATCTGGCGCCACATTCGCTTTAACCCTTTTTCGCCCTTCAAAAATATTTTCTTCCCCTAAAACGAATTTTGTTTTGACTGTCAACTCAACAAAAAGCGCAAAAAGGCGTTAATTTTATAACATGTTTATATGTTAATTTTAATGGTTTTAATCGTTTTGAATGAAGTGTAATAACTAATAATTTGCTAAAAACATGTCGCTCAAGTCGAAGGAAGCAGGTAAATTCTTGCACAATAATATTTAACCGAATATCTACTTTATTTAAGCAATTCCAAGAGAAAAATACAAATTAATTAAAAAATATTCCAATATACTTTCAAATAGAAATTTAAACTTAAGTCCTCCAAAATTAGAACTTGTAGAAAAGTCTATAGGAGAAATATATTGGATACTGATATTTCGAAGGAAAATGAGATTATTACAAAAGAAACAAATGTTCAATCGGTATCTACAGTAAACATTTTGGAATTAAATTAATCACCTACCAAAACTGAATCTTCCAAACATGAAGGTTTCAATACTATATACAGGAAATTTAACTCATAAAGATACAAATATAATAGACGCATTTTCTGGAGGCTTAAAAGTAAAAAAAAGTCCGGCTGAGATTATAACTCGCAGATGTAGTGCAAGAAATAAAAATCCTAAGAAATAAAAAATGTTCTACTAAAAATGAATCAAACAAAAACCTAATGATAAATTGTGTGTAGATTCTAATGGAAATGAATTACCCAAATTAACCGAAACTTTATTTGAACCTGGCTTAATTGAAAATAAAAATATATCACTGAAGGTTGAACAAAACGCAATTTCCAGTAAGAATTCCAACCCCATATGTGTTATCAAACTTGATAAAAATGAGATTTTGTCTGCACTTAACAATTTGAGTAAAACCACAAATAAAAATGAACAGAGTCTAACTTTTAATGTTGGGATTGTAGAATGTAGTAAACAAGTTTTTAGTAAAAGTTTGAAGATTTCAAAAGCATCTAATAATGATAATTTAACTAAATATAAGTCTCCAACTGTAATGTCGACTGAAGAAACAAATATTGTACCTGAAACTGAAACTAGTCAAGCGGTCAATAAACTTGAAGCAGCAACTAAGAATGCATCAGAGGCTAATATAAATCTCAATCGGATAAGTCAAACTTCCAACAGAAATATTAATCTAAATATCGATTCTGATAAAGTTGAATGCGATATCGAAGTGATCGATTAGATGTGATACCCGGAAATAATTTATGTCTTCCGAGTCGGATGGTCAGTGCGCCCGACCACCTTACCCAAACCTTGTTACCTGCCGCTCTGCGGTTGGAGAATCAACAGCAGATGCAAGGAACACTTGTTTAAATAGATCGAGTGACATGGATTTTTGTGATAATGAAAGTGTAATTAGTGTAGAAAATGAATCAGTTAGTAGTTGTGATTTGAATATCAAGAATAGTGTTAACATTAATTATAAATATAATATCAACGATGTAAGTGCAGATAGTAATAAAATGGAAACGTTAGAACAAAAGGAAACCAAAGGGAAAAACAGTAATTTAGCATCTAATAATATTGATACAACAATGGAAATAAAAAAGATCTAATAAGTGATGACAACAATATAAACGATCAAAATAAATCAGATGAAAGAGTTAATCCATTAAATAATTTGATACATTTTGAAGGTTGCGATATGGGCCCTTACACTATATTTGTTGAATCCAAGGACAGAACTGTAGGCCGACTGCTACAAATGCTGTCGGTTCAATCACGTTGAGGACCAATGTAGAGGAAAAGAGAGATGTATGAAATGTTCCGGAGAACATAATGCAAAAATATGTATAGCTTCCAAATTTGTATGTGCTTTGTGCAATGAGGATCACCCTGCAAATGATAAAGAGTGCACGGTATTTATTAAAAATAAAAAAATTAAAGAAATTATGGCTTGGAAGAATCTAGCATACCATGAGGCCAGAAATATATTGTATAAAGACAGTTATGCAAACAAGTCAAAAGTCGGATTCAGTTTCACGGACAAAGATAAAGAATTTCCAATTTTGTAGTACAGACAGTAAGATAACCAAAACTAGGTTCGACGCCCTTTCTGATCTAGAGGAGGAGGAGCAACCGGAATTTTTAAATCCGACAACCTTTCATAAACCTAAAAAATCGACTTACAAAATTACCAAAAGCAATACTTCATTCAATTCTGGATCTTCAATGAAAAAACAGTTAGCCACTTAACGGTCACGCACGAACACTGCTCGCCAAAGTTAATGTTTATGTTTTATGCGATAAAAGGCGTACAATGGCCCGTTCTTGGGATATTTAGTTTAGATATGATAAGTACAGATCAATTAATATTGTATATATAATAAATCAATCTTTAACGACTTTTGAGATTAGAAATAAACATGTAAAACCGCCTTTCTGAATATCTATCAAGAGGCATGTTATTGTTATATTTTTGTGTTATTTTTTATAGGAATCAATTGAAGATTACACTGAAGTGTTTTATCTCTAATTAGGCAAGAATCCATCTATTTTGCTTTTTAACTTTCAGAGTTTTTACACGTACATTTACTCTAAAAATTATATATTGTTGAATTTTCTTATTTGTTTACAATTTGGTATATTATTTTTAGATAAATAGAAATTATTAAAATTTAAAAGTTATAAAATAAAAATTCATCAAAGCGGTCATCGGTATTATAATATTTATTGTTAATTTTAAACAAAAATAAATAAATAAAAAGAAAATGTTATCAGAAACACATATTACATCAATTAAACTTTTAAAATCCGCAATAAAAAAATGCTCTTTTAGATCACTTTTCACGAAAAAAAACTCGACCGTTAAGTGGTTAGTGAAGGAACCTGTATCAAATAGGAACAACAAAACCGAATTTGACACCCCCTCTCAATTGTGTAATTACATTTTTTGCATTATCGATTTTCGACGTTATTTTGAAAAAATGTAATTACACAATTGAGAGGGGGTGTCATCCCCCCGGGGGTGATGGCGCAACCCGAATTGTTTTCACTTTTGAACTTGAGGGCAAGATGAACCTAATTCCAAAATTTCATTCAATTCGGAGAACAGTAAAAGATTCAGAGGTTATACCCTTTTTTCCTCTCCGTTTACTGCACACTAATATACATTCCTAGTAGCGCTGAACATTATAACTAGGGTTTATACAAAAACCGACATTTCAGAAAACCGGTTTTCGAATTTTAATTTCACTGAAAAACCGGTTTTTGAACTTTATATAGAAAATAAATTTTGCTCGAATATTCTGTAATTTATCCGCAAATTTAGTGTAATTTAAAGCAGAATTTGACTGAATTAATTTATTGTTCAATTTTATACATAGCAAACAAATTATTTAATTTTATTTAGTAGAACTAAAAAATAATAGTTTATCTTGATTAAATAATTATTCGTTATTCATGCATCATTTTCACATATAAAATGAAAATATTGTTCTGATAGTAAAAGGAAAGTTTTCGAATAAATAAAAATAATACATTTCTAAATGAAAAAAATCATTAAATTAAATAATAAAGTAAAAAAATATTAGATACATGTTAATATCAATTTTAGTTTTAAAAACGATTAAGCTAAACTCGGGTATTGTCTACTCCGAGAAATTTTAATTAATTAATTTTAAACATTCTGATTGTTTTTTGTTCAATAAAATATTTCAAAAAACTGAGAACGTCTATCGAATTGCTACTTATTGTTACATGTATCCTTTGTTTACTCATTCAATTTCCTGTGAAATAGAAATACTCTCATACTAGCGACCAAATTATGCTTAATTATTTTAAGCCTCTGATATAATAATTCTTAGTTTTTTGTTCTTTAATTTGTGGCTTCTAGGGTTTTTTTTTTAAGTTTGAGTAGTGGGAGTTACTTCTTCAAGAAGTCACACTGATTTAAATTAATATATACAACTGCTATAAAAATCTAATTTAATATATACAAAACATTTCTGGGAACCATTGCAGACTGATAAGATATAAAATGCTATTGAACCGATATGATTTCAAGAATCAAAACGCTTTTATCTATCTTGTATATTTGGCTATATTTGTCATTTTCCTTTTCCATTTAAAGTGAAAACCGATTTTTTCTATTGGAAAACCGGTTTTCGAATTCCATAATTTTGTCAAAAAACCGGTTTTTGATAACTGACAAAACTCTAATTATAACCTGTTGTCAGAAATACTAAACAAATGATGAGATCTAAATTTAGACCGGACAAACAATTGTTAAGTTTGATTTGGCCGGCACAGTATATTACGTAAAGAAGCTTCAAATTATTTAGTGATAATAACATTAAAAAAATATGCTAAAATTATTCAAATCAATATCAGATATGTTTCTTCAAATAAGCTGTATCTAGAATCCTATTTGAAAACCAACCATATAGATATCGTAATTTAATCTGAAACATGGCTCATAGATAATAACAGATTTTAGATATCTGGATACGCTTTTATATCAAAGAATAGAGAAGATGGTTATGGAGGAGATGGAATACTTATCCACCGAAGATACTAATTTCAGACGCTAAATTTAAACAGCTTCATTACCAATAAAATTCAGATTTGTGGAATTAAACTGGCTATACATAACATAACACTTAATATTGTGGCGATTTATTGTGATCCCGGTCACAAGACAGGATCGGAATATTGGTGGTGTCGCTATTCCAGGAACTAAATCAACCGTTAATACTAGCAGGGACAGTAATGCTCACCATATAAGTTTTGGAGGGTTAAAAAACAATAATGCAGGCATAAATCTAGTGAAGCTATAAACTCAGAGGGTTTATGTCTTATGAATGACGAAGCACCTACAATGATGAAAAGACACGATAGAAATCCTTCCGCGGTA